ACACGGGTGGGTGCCTGTGCGCCAGGGGTTTGTACACAGGCTCGAGAAACACCAAGTTGTGGTCTGCTCTTCCAAGAGGGGGGAGGGGGAGGGGTTTATATGCCTCCTTGGCATTGGCATAAAACAAGTCCAAAATGTTATTGTCTCTAGTGGCACAGGTTACATATTGCGTGAAGGTTGAAAGGGAGGACGACAAAGAGACATGGTTGAAGTCCCCAGAGATGATCAGCAGGGCGTTAGGGGACTGTGTTTGTGTTTCATCCTATCTTTACAATAACTGGCTGCCGGTCAGGAATGATTCCATCTGTTCATCTATTATTTATGCAGCTTATCCTGATCAGGGTCTTTTTGGTTTTTTTATATTCCATCACATCCACTTGTTGATGATGTAAAATTGGGCAATCACAGCCTTCCATACCGATCGTTTGAAACCGGGTGTGACCCCGTTTCCTCCGACAGCACCCAACGTGCCCCAGGCGGATGTTTTAATAAATATAAGAAGAGCTGATGATAACAGTAATGCGCTCAATGAATTAATTTTTAGAATTATTCAGAGGGTTGGATGCAAGCTCTTGACATATTTATGAATGAAATACAATGACATCAGCAGAGCTCCAAATATGTCTGCCTGCGCCTTGATGAAATTACATTCCACCCTCTGCGCCACAACTTAGACCTGCTTCGAGCTTGTCGAAAGTCTAGTTTTTCTTTCTGTCTACAAATTGTCAGTTGCGCCGGGGACATGTCATCGAAAACGGCCTCAGTCAGCGCTATCGGCCAAGTTCCCAAATACGGTAAACTATATGTGTCCAGCCACCAAATTTGGTGCCATGAATGTAAAGTGAATGACAGGAGAATCAATAAATATAATATATATTTAGTATAATATATCATTTCTGCCTTGACTACTGTTGGCCAGGTAAACTTGTGGCTTAAGGCGGCCTGGATATCTCGATAGCAACTCAACTCAACTGTATTTATAGAGCACTTTCAAACAGCCATCGCTGCATACAAAGTGCTGTACATGGAGCAACTAACATATACAACAGTAAAGCAACAAATCAATAACAAAAGACAGTAGAAAGCACCAAACAGCAAAACCAAGGTCAATTCTGAGTCATGCTGAGTCAAATGCCAAAGAATACAAGTGAGTTTTGAGGCGGGTTTTAAAGATGGGCAGTGAGGGGGCTTGCCGAATGTTCAGTGGGAGGTCATTCCAGAGAGAGGGACCAGCAACGGAAAAGGCTCGCTCCCCTCTGAGCCTCCGTTTAGTTCTTGGTACTTCTAATAATGTCTGGTCCACAGACCTGAACTAGTTTGACCATGCATGCATTATGGGTCCAGCCAATATTGTATACAGGTTACCACCAGTCAAGCAGCACAGTGGGGTCACTCACAGATGATGAAGCAGCAGAAGCAGAACATCATCACACTTCTTTCGTTCATTTTTTCTGTTTTTAAAGCCACATTCCCACCAAATGACACAGTTCAATTTGGATTCAGCGCAGTTAACATCGACCCGGATTATTTTTCTGCCATAGGGAATGTCAGGCATACGATACGGTACTATTGCAACTACTACCCTAGCAAGTGGGTCATGAAAAGTGTCAGGGGACCACATTGGGACTTTTTGTGATATTGGACAAGTTTTGAAAATGGAAGTGCAAAACAAATGCATATTTATGAATACACAATCATGCACTTCAGTTCTATTCATGGTTAATCAAGGTTTATTTAAAAAAAAGTGAAATATTGATTACCGGTGGACTTTTGAAGATATGAAAATATTGTCCTCTCAGTGCCAGGAACTTGAAAGTTGCTTTTCGAGAATCAGCCTTGCCCTCTGCTCTTTCACAAGCCCAGCCCATGTGAACAATCTGTAGATGAAGAGGATAACAATGCACTTATTTACTCAACCTCAGACTAACAGACAGCTGTTTGAGACAAGGCCTTTATTTATACAATTGATTTTGTAAAGGATATACAGCTGTTGATTGGTTGATGGACAATCGTTAATTCTATGTTACATATACTGAATGGAATGTGTAACTGACTCAGCATTTTCTATTCGAGTGTTCATATTTCTTGGTTACTGCCAATAGTCCAGCAGTGTTTGTGGTACAGATCCTGAATCAATGAAACTTTACAATTGCTAAACTTAACCAGTTTTGGTTGTTACACGCTTTATTTATTTGTGAGTTGTTTCTTTTCAATTGATTGTCATAAAGCGTTGTTAAACTCTGCCTTTGCATGCTTCTTGGAGACGTTAAAAAAAATTGGCAAAAACAAAAAGTGTGAAAGGATCAAAAGCTATTTAGTTTTGCTGTTACACGCAAGATTGCTGCTGTGATGTGACATTTTGAGCATCCCACCTACACATCTGCTGTTGAAACAAAAAGTAGATTGTATTTTCCGTACTATAAGGCGCACCTAGAAGCATTAAATTTTCCCAGAAGCCGACAGCACGCCCTATAATACGATGCACTTTATATATATGGTGTCACAGTCTCTTTATATTCCCCATTGAGTTGTTTTCCTGTTAGTGTTCCTATGCCATCTAGTGGTGATTATTAGCAGGAACCAATTGTTCCCTAAAAGGGTTTTGCCCGACACTAATTGGCATGTGCCATCGCCAACACACACTGAAACAGACAGCTACTTTGTGAGCTCTGTGCAGCCATAATGAAATGAAGACAATACCAAAAGCAGAGTTAACTATTGATTAAACGAAGGAATAAGGAGACAAGCAAGACTTCTAAGGATATTAAGCCCCTTGTGGATGTGAGCCCATGAGGTTTGTGTGCCTTTTTGTTGAATCTATTGTCTTCATAACATCAGTTCATTTATTGTTTGTAATGCCATTTATATGTACATGTTTCATGTCCATGTTTGTGACCAGTTCTAATGGCTTTGTTACAGCTGCAGCGGGTGTGAAAGCTCTGGATAAATAAAGCTGCACAGTATTGTATCGAATTAACTTTAGCATAGCTCTATCTAGTGGATGCATAGTGAAACCGCAGCCACTATTGTAGTTTCTATTCTATGCCCCTCATAATGCGGTGCACCCTAATTATGAAAACAGTTTTAAAATAGGCCATTCATTGAAATTGCGCCTTACAATCCGATGCGCCTTATAGGCCAGGAAATACGGTAAATCACGATGCATGAAACCAAACATAACACGATACACGACGGTGTAAATAGCAAAGATAATTTTATGTGTCGCTAAATGTATTTAGGATGCTCATTTACAGTAAAAAAATTCTACTTTTTTTACTAGCACAGCAAGTTTTAGTCATATTTTCAATTTTGGTTTTTAACTTTGACTCATAAAAGTTTGAACAATATGGACTTTACCAAGCATTGTAATACATAGCTACAACTAGTAGTGTTCTCAAAGAGAGAGCAAGCTTGTGCCTGTTCACCATCCAATGTGAGTCAAACAATTGTGCTGCCCATTTGTGCTCAAGCTGTGATTGCATACCTGATCATCTGAAGAGCTGTATTTGTTTGCCAGCTTAATCTGAGAAAAAAATAGAACGATCATTTGTAACAAAGAGAGAGACTTTTGAAATGTGCATTAAACAAAATAAAGCTACAATGAGCATGACACATCCATAAAAAAATACTGAACTTCAACGTACTCTGTTTAAATCTGTGAGTGGAGCTCTCATGGACATAACAGATGAGCAACCTGCAATAAACCACGAATGAATGCTGTCAGCTCTTCCTGGTGATATATAATGGCCTCCTCTTGGCATTTCTGCTTATATTTGAATCATGTCTAATTCCCAGATTGTAGCCTCTTAAAGGTTAGAAGAAATGTCACAATATCACCAAGATTCCTGCATACATCTTTGAAAGATGTCATTTTGCATGTTGCCATTTTGTTTTTGCTTCATTTGTGGGCTATTACCGGAGTAGATCGACGCTCTGTGCCACTTTTGTGACATACAGTGGTACCTCTACAAACGAACGTCTCTTCATACAAAAATTTCAAGTTACAAAACGCCTCAACAGGAAAATATTGTTTCTTGTTACAAAAGAAATTTCAAGATACGAAAGGTAAAAATACAGAATGAGCTGCTACTCGCAGCTCAGTTTCCTGAACGCAACATACTTGGAGCTGCTCTGCCATTGGCTATTATCCGAGCATCATCCTGGCATCCCATTGGCTAAGATGGACCTCTCCCGAATGTGTATCCGGCTCTTAATTGAAGGGGAGCCCTGAATATCACGTGATTTCCGGGTTGAGTGAACGCTGGCGTTGTCTGGCTGCCGCTGCTCACCCGCAACACATTTTTAACGTTTTTACGCTTTTACTGTCGCCAATTTATTTTTGATCGTCAACCACTATCTGATTGTTTTTAATCACGCTGTCACAGCGTCCTACCTTTTCGGATCTCAGACGAGGTCCCGTGCCATCTCCACCCCTCTATACCAGGGGTCCCCAACCTTTTTTGCCCCACGGACCGGTTTATGTCAGACAATATTTTCAGGGACCGGCATTTAAGGTGTGGCGGAAATAATACAACAAAATAATATGGTATGAGCTGCATGGAAACTGTGGTGTTTTCGAAATATAATAATAAACACAAGGAGCGTCTAATCTGGCCGCAACACTC